GAAATGTACAATTGCTTTCATCTTTCACTTTTATACAACTGTCAGTCATATTGATGACCATGTGGATGTTAGGGAGGTGGTGGTCATGATGGAACCAAGTTGTAATCCTGAGCCACCAAAAATGAAAAGGAGAAACTCAACTGCAGCAGAGACAGCATCGTCAACCATGACAATACTGGAGATAGAGAGGCTTGCTAAGGATAGGGAAAGACTACAAATTCAGAAAGAGCAGCTGCAAGTTTTGAAGGAACTCAACACAAACCTTCAGCAGTTCTTCAAACAGAACATTGAAATAAACATGACAGACATCACAGAACTGTATGGCCACATACATACATCTTATATAATATTATTAGCTTGCTTCCATATACCTTAATTTGAAATAAACTGAATAAAATAATGCAAACTCCCTTCATCGGCATTCGCTTTTGGCACAACTTTTAAAAATTTGGTCTCAACAGTTGCCTTTACATAAACCCTTCCTAGTTTATACTTTCAACTGGTTTACGTTTAGGAAAAGCTTTCCTATTCTGCTCTGAATTAGAACTGTGAAGTAAAAATTAACTTGAATGAAAGGCTGGTTGTCTTGTGTGTCAATTCAATTGTTTGAATTTCAGTCTTTTGGTACAGTATGTATGGGGCAACCAAAACATTACTGTGATCCATAAATGCAAGTGCAATAGTGAATTTATCTTTAAGCAAACTTGACATGCAGATAGAAAAGATAGAAAATGTCCGCGGTGTACAAAAAATGAGTGAATTAAATATGCAAAAGTGCACACATTTAATAACAAATTTGGAATTCTGCAATTTTTCCTTATATCAATAACAAGAAAGCAGTGTCTTCATAAAGGACGGGAATATTAAATAAAACTCATTTGAAGATCAGCTGAGCAAATGCACCATGTCTTAATTTACCAGCAGCCACATGTTCAAAATGGTGCAATGTGCAGAGTTGAACAGCACATAACGCAGAATGTGAAATGAACTATGTGACACAGGAAAACATGATTGTTGTTTGGACTGACCAATCAAGATTGAAGATTTGAGCTTGCTTGAAGATAACTGTATTGAAAATATTTACTTAGGGACCTTCTTTATTTTCACACTATTTTCCACACTTGTGAAAATTTAGATTGATTAAAAAATCTGTCAATAATACGATATCTATGAGCTGTTCCATCCTGAAGAGGACCATTATAGGGGGCTGCATCTTGATCTTCATTTTCAATGTCCTCGTACTCCTCAATTTCTGGCTCCCCAAATGTCTTGGAGAGATTGAAGAGGACACAGCATGCCTTTATAAAACAGCATGCTCATTCGGGACGCACCCGCAGACCAAAAGACAGTCGTGGGCATTTTTTTTCAGCTGGCCAATTGTCTGCTCAATCAGAACATGGGTTCTTCTGTGGCACCTGCAAAACAAAAAATGTAATTAAGTGCATAATTCCCCAATTACAATCAAGTGGAAAAGATGAAGTTATATGTACATTGATGCTACCAGTAATCATGCACTTTGATCACTGGTAACTTGTTCAGAGACCACCCTACTGTCTCTTTATGTCACTAATAATGTTTTATTTTAATCTGAAACCCTGTTAAAATCACATGAACAGCCCTTGTGTCAAGTTGAAATGACAGAATATGGCAAGCCAAGATCAACAGTGCCACATCGAATAGAAATTGACATTTGCAGTATTTTTTAATGGGGTTATTTATGCTTACCTGTTGTAGTGTCATTCAGCATTTGATGTGGGATCCAGGATGGGTGTCTTGAGCCATGACCGTATAGGATATATCCTCCGTGGCCACGGCTCATTACATAGCCTGTGTCCCCCACAATCACTCCATGGAGCCCGAAATACAAAGGTAACATAAGGGTTTATTCAATAAAGGCAATTTTAAAGATCTGCTGTTTCTAAAGGGCAAAGGTGTGTTCAATGAAATACATGTTCACTGAACACAAACTCACACATAGCTACATGTACATGTATTGAGCATGATGTAGTTCATGAGTGCACATTTGTGCACCCAACACACATTTGTTGGTGCATGACATGGAAATTCCACCAGTAATGTCAAAACAATGGAAATATTAAAGTTACATGTACTTGAATGACACAGGGGACATTCTTCAAATATCTGCAAATATTTCAAATCCAAGCAATGGTCATAATTTGTGATTATATTCTGAATACAGTTTTACACAGATTGCCATGTATCCTTGTCACAAATTAGTTGTATCAATCTGCTGCTAACCTGCCATCATTAAACATGTTGCCAATGACGCTGCCATGGAGGATGGCACTATCATGTGTGCATCCTGGCCACCGTGCTACAACATTGGTGATGATGAAGTTGGCATTGCATATCAGCTGTATATTAATGCTGTGATAACCTTTACGGTTCACATTCATGTACAGGTGCTCATCATCGCCCATGGGAGCATTGTGCAGACGTATGTGGGTTCCATTTGTACTGCACCCACCACCTCTGGAAACCCAGCAATGGCTAAAAACTCTTATTGTGCCTAAGTGACATCTTGCTGGTTGGTAGGAAAAGAGATGACCCTGTTGGTTAAGCCAGGGATAGCTGTGGAGACGCAATGAACGATTCTACACACAGAAGCTATGATGACATCATGGAGATCACCATGGACTGTGTAGAACGATCCCGTTGCAAAGAATCGCAGTGCAATCAGAAGTTGCGTCTATGCAGAGATTGCATTGCTGCCCTGATTAGAAAAAAAATTAAAATATCAGCATATCTGCAGTTGGGCATATAATTTTATAAGTTGGCAAAAATTAATAATTACACAAACGTCAGTGCAAAGGCATTCCACTCTTTTTCTTTTGAAATATAAATTAGCAATTGACTATTTTATTAGTTGATGAGTTCTCTCTTTGTTTATACCCCATTCGATATTTCCTAATCTAAGATAATAAATGCAACTGTCAGTGTTGTTCACTGGGTCAGTGTGAGTTACTGGAAGTTTATTTCTTGTAGTACCTTAAAAAACATAGATTTTTATGAGTCATCAACATAAACATACAAACAGGTACAACCCACGAGCATGAAAAGATTTTACAAAACTGTGTATTTTAGTCCGCCACGTCTACCACTACGCTACATTATCTATAGGTTTTAGTAAGTGCATGATCCCTTCCTATTGCCTAGCCTATGTAGATATATCATAAATAAAAACAGCCATGGGAAGATACTCGAAACGTATCCCAGTGTCCCTTCCCTTTCTGAACAAAACCAAAAAATTACCACAATTATGAAGTACACAAAATGCTTGGCCTCCCATTTTTTAAAAGAAATTATCTGTATAACCAGCCTAGCCTACAGTATTAGCAAAAATATAATTATGTCAAGCACTATGATTTTGATTCATTATCAGCTGCTTAGACTCAATTGTTATGTGGTCTTTATCCTTCCTCCATGGTAAGAACCATCATGACCACAATGGAACCACGATTTCATTTCAACAAAATTCAAAACAATTAATTTTGAGTCTGAAAAACGTATGTGCACAAGACAATAAAATGTCCCAAATTTGAACAACATGGGAAAAAAAAGAAAAGAAAAGAAAAACACTCCCTTTAGAACAGATAGGCCTCCCTTGTTGAGCTTGTTTCATTCACTGTGTATGGAAGACCATGAAAGTTGATGGACTTGACTGGGTGACGCCATTACATCTTATTATCAACTGACGAACAAATAGTGGCGCTTATTTAGTTTTCAACCAGTGATGGTCGGAAGTTGTGTCAGATAATCGCAGCGCTGATCGTGTCGTAACTTTTCTGGAGTTATTGGAGTCTACCATGTCTACTGGCAGGCATCATCACAGACTTTTATTAATGTAGGCCTAGACATACTTTTTGTGAACAAGGTACATGTACATGTATGTTGTTACCTGTGTGGTAGGCTCAATTTCTGGCTCAACCCTTTGAAGAGGCTCGAAAATCCCATTTTGTGTGAATCTGTAGTGCTGCTATATCTCTTCCTCCGTCAGAGAATCTAAGGGATTCTTTCTGTCTCTAAATATTCTTTCTCTTCCAAGAGCTCATCTAGCCTCGAAATTAGCAAGCATAAGCACCATTGCTGAAATGATTCTTCTATGGTTCAAAGTTGTGAGTAATGATGTCCCAGTGACTCATCTTAACTTACGATGTGCTGCTAGGAAACTTACGATGGGTTCAACTCATCTTAAATTTCTTCAAATCATTTGTAAGAATCATCCTAAGTCCCGATGGATAATCCATCCGATTGATCATATTCCCTAGTGAAATCGGCCCCAGGGCAAATAACAAGAATGATACATCACAATTAACATATGAATATAAGTAAAATGACAAATATATAATGGCAGGAGTATGTAAAACAAAAATTATTATCAAACATTAAAACCCAAATACAATGAAACAAGTGTTCCGCTTTCAATGAAAATCAGTCATCAGAACATAAATTCTTAGCGAGTCAATCTAAAAATTCAAAAATTAAACAATATATTTAATTTTTAAGAGATTCTCACAGTGTTTAATGTAACAAAAACAGCAGAGGTGACATTGAATCATTGACGTAATAATTCAATTTCACCTCTACCTTTTCTGTGTCTAGGAAGCCAATTTTGATCTGTAATTTTTTTCAAGAACGACCAGTAAAGTGTCTGTTCTTTTTAAGAATTCTTAAGAATGTACAATTAACTGCACATTCTTAAGAATAACACTTATTCTGAACAGGGTGATGTCACAAGTATTGTTTAATGATATGACAAGCATCTTTTTGCTTTACCTCAAAAAGTCCATGATTGGCAGCTTCTTGCCTGAAGTCTTCCACACTTCCAAGAATACTGTATGGAATGATGTTACCACTCCGATCAAATCGTGGCCCAACCAAACCTTCAAAAGTGAATAAAAGCTTTACTTAATGTGAATACATTTGTCACATGCTATTACACACAATTTAGGAAGCCTTTATACTACCCAAGAAGATCCTAGTTGGTGTCGTCAGTCTTTACTTTACCAATTTGAATTACAACATATCTATCTCATGGGTCAGGTTTTGATGACTTTCATGGAGCGATTTTTTGACATGTTATTAGAGTGTTAATGCAGTCTGTCTTCAGACAAAGTGACTCTTCAGACAATTGTCTATGCCAAATTTCCAAACAACAAAATGACTGGGAATATTCTATTCCCCTAGACGTGATGCCAGGCAATGGCAGGTTGCTCCCTTGCTAAGGTGCTCATAGTTGATTCTACGGTTTCATATCTTTTTACCTAAAGGGAGGGTTTGTCTGTTTGAAGGGAAAAGGGAGGTGAACAGATAATTCGTCCCCAGAAATTCCTTAGATTACTACTACTGATAATAATAATGATTAATTTATAATGCACAGATTCCACATACTGTATTCAAGTGTGAACTACATTAATATAAAACATGACAAAAGTTAAATACAAAACCACACAGTAAACTACTCAGCTACAACATAATATACACATTAATATTTCACAACAAACGAAGTTAATTCATTGAAAACCAGTCTTAAACAGATGCGTCTTAAGTTTAGTTTTAAAAAGATTGAGCTGTCTAGATATTGGAAGGAAGTTTGTTCCATAAATATTGTGCTTCATAAGAAAATGCCCTCATCCCTATTATTTTCAACATTCCTCCTTAAGGATATTCTAATTGGAGGTTACTGTTTGACCACAGTCTGTATTGAGAATTGTTTTTGATGGTTAAAAGGGCAACCGCACTGGCAACCAGTGCGGTTGACGAAGTCTTGGGGTAATATGAGTTCGTGATGATGCACCATGTACAAGCCTGGCTGCTGCATTCTGCACTCTTTGTAGTTTGGCTAATTGTAAATGGGAGACACCACGAAACAAATTGTTGCATGGTGCATAATCAAGACGACTAGTTATAAAGGCATGAACTAAGACAGCCAAGGTACTCCTAGTCAAGTATTTTCTGACACACCTAATATTATGAATGTGATAAAATGGCAAAGAACATATTTTAGCAATGTGCTGATCAACACATACATGTAGTTGAGAATCAAACCATGATCCCAAATTACATACACGTACATTGATGTCGATATCTTAGCAATTCCAACTGAAAGGTCAAGAGTATTGAGTTTAGCTAACTGCTGTTGAGTACCGATAATAATAAACTCAGTTGTAGCATCATTTATCATCAATCTATCTTGCAACATCAACTCTCCTACATCATGGATATAATTCCCCATAGCAGTCACAGCCTGATCAATAAAATAAATAGGTTTAAACGATAAATACTCCTCCCCACAGAAATGTGGGTGAGGTCTGTTGTTGAATACATACCCCAAACAGTCACTAAATATGCAAATCTGATTCAATTCGCAAAAACTTCTAATCAACCAAAGAGCGACCTCTAGTCCTATGATGCATAGCAGAATGGCCGCCATGTGCGTCCTTCTTTCCGGTATTATAACCATCTGAGCCAAAAGTGGGAAAGGATGGGAAGGAGCCGACTGTTTGGGGTAGGTATTCAATAGCAGACCTGTGGGGGAGGAGTCTTCTGCTTTCAACCTACCCAAAACAGTCGCTAAATATGCAGAGTAGCACCGAGCCCTTGGCGGGGGGTGTGGCGAGGATGAACTGCATAATGAAATGAAACTGTCCAAACTTTATTGCGGACTCACCAAATAATGGAGTTGTTATGTTGTTCCAGTGGTAGACCGCTTTGATGAGGAAACCTTCGGCATTCATGTGGCTGATGTTAGGACAACTCTGCCATGTGCAGAGTCCTTTTGCAGAACATCGGTGAGGTAGCATGTGGTGAAAGTAGATGGGGTCTTCCAGCATGCTGCCTTGCTTATTTCCTCCACTGGTACGCTCCTGAAGTAGGCCCAGGATGTGGAAAATGCTCGGATATCATGAGCTCTGATGAGGCATAGTGTTTTATTGTCCACAGAGTTCAGCCAATCTGGGTTGGCAAACTTGATAGCCAAAACTGTCCATCTGGCTATAGTGTCTCTGGTCACAGCTCGGTGAGGTTTTATTGTAGTGATGAAAAGCTGCAAAGTTGTACCTTCCAGTTTTCTGGTTTTGACTAAGTACCATTTAAGAGTTCGCACAGGGCACCATGGTTTGTCATCGGGGTTCACAGTGTGTTTGGTAATGTCTGGTACAGAAATGTCAGGAGGATGGAAGGAAACTGACTGGTTCTTGGTGAGCAACCCCAGCAGTGGGATGAGACGAATGTCATGGGATTCCCATCGAATGTGGCCATCTATGATGGACAATGCTTTCAATTCACTGCCACGCCGTGAGGTACATGTAGTAACTCCTAGTAGAAATGCCAGTTTCACTGATGGGTTGATCAACAATGCGTCGCTAAGAGGTTCAAAGGGAGGACCAGCAAGCAGTTGGAGAACAGCTGACAATTTCCATGAAGGGATTAGTCTCTTAGTCGGGAGACGCTCAAGAAACATTCCCCAGAGTAGATGTTTAAAAGCAGTACTGTTGGACACGGTCGAACCATCTGGGAAGCTATCGCGTATAGCCGCGATGATTGACCAGTAGTTACAGATAGTTGAAACCTGGAGATCTCATTGAACAGGTGTATGAAGAAGTCAGCTATAGCAATCACAGAAACTTCAGTCAGAGCAAGACCTGTCTCTGAACAGGAGGGTAGCACGCCTTGGAAGTTCTTCCCTTGAAGCTCCTCTGGGGTGGTTTGGTAGGTCGAGAGGAGGATGGATGGCCAAATTCGTCTGGTAACTGAGCTGATGAAAGAGGCAAAGAACGAGAATCACCCTGACATGGAGGTCTGAAGGGTCGAGCCCGGCAGTCATCAGGACAGGATTGGCAAGGTGGAGCCGACAATGGAGGTTCAAGGAAGCTAAGTTTATGTGTTGTGTCAATGCATTTAACTTCTGACTCCATCATCTCCATGACTTCCCAGCAAAAAGGTCTTTGCCATAAAGGAAAAGTCTTGAAGTCTTGACTTGACTCCATCATAGGGAATGTTCGTGGCATCTAAGGTGTTGGATCGGCACGCAGAAGTGGCTAAAACGGAGATTTGAATGAACTGCTCAAAGACAGAGTTGACGTTCTCATCGAGCGCTTGAAGTGCGACAGCTGCCAAGTCCGGAGTAACTGGTGGATCTTCGTCACACCCTTGGGCCAAACATAGAGGAGCGCCATAAACGCGGTGCAGCAAACACCATGTCATAAGGCTTTGTTGAGTTTAACAAGCGTAGACTCAACAGAACACTTGTCTTTGTCTTTAAATGGAGACTTTCCTGTAGGCTTGTGAGCATCGGAAGAAAATTTATCTTTAGCCTTCGTTGGAATCTCAGGGACAGAAAGGAAAGTGTCAAAGTCCTCCCTAGCAAACTGGAAATAAATTTAGGCCCTGGGTGGGTATGGACGCCATTGTTTGGCACCAGCGGAATTTAAAACATCTCAACACATGAGCGGTCAAGTGGAAGTTCCGAGAAAATTGGCATTGATGCCTCCAACCTAGTAGGTTGGCGCTTGAAGGAAGCATGTGAGGAGGCCTCTGCAGTAGACTGATTAGAAGGCAGCCCTAATATGTGGATCATATCTTTCTGAAAAAGACGGAGCCGTGTCTCAGGAGGGTTAAGATTGGCTGCTGAGGAGATATCCTCATCTTCAGAGGACATATCCCATTCCATCTGGAGTTGATCAGAGGAAGGAGGAACGTCGTCATGTCTTGCTGAGTGGCCAGGGGCCGGAGCAGGAAGTGGGCTGTAGTCTGCGCTGGAACCTGGGTAGTCAAAGGAACGAAACCATCATAGGAAGATCAGATCTTCAATGAATGCAAGTTCGGATGTAGATGCAAATGTGGATGCGGATGCATATCACGTTCTGCAGGCAAAGGGTCCAGATCTGGAGCCGCTGCCAGGGGAGCAGGATAGAGGTCTAGACGGCTGGCTATAGAGGAGAGCTTCTCTGAGACCATGCAGACCGCTACCCCATAGAAGAAGACGAAGAATGCTTGCGCTTTTTGTATACAGGAGAACTAGTTGTAGAGCCAGTGGTTGAGGCCTGGTGAGCTGGGGCATTAAAGGCTTGCCCAGACTGCAGTAAGGATACAGCAGGAGAGGGCTGGTGAACTGCAAAGGTAGACGCAATCTTCCCAGAAAGGCCCAGAAGGTAGCCAGAAGTCGGGGTGATGTAAGGAGATTGAAAGTCCAGATGGCACAAGAGGCCGGTGGGCTCTGTTGTCCTGGGCACGGGTGGTGGTGTGCCCACATGGCCTGGTATTGTCTCTGCAGGGACTGCTCCGGAGACCAGCGTTACGTTGTTCCGTGGAGAGTCAGCATCTTTGTCACAGCCGGGTGCCTCGGCTGAAAGGGCTGATGCAGATAGCACTGGCGGCGTGAGGCCGCTCCAGCACGTGGTCTTTTGAGCCATGCCAATGTTGGGTGTTGACCACGGTAAGTGTTGACAAGAGCTTGTTGTTGGCCAGCATCACCCATTCGGAATGCATGGGAATTGGGATGCAGAAGTGTTGCATCCACACCCAGCTAGCAGAGGAAATTTCGACCCTGAGTGCAGCACCACTGTGCACTATCGTTGACTGCAATGCTTCAGTGTTACATTGGGGAAATGAGCCTTCGGATATGGTAGCTCAGACCCTTGAAGCATGGCATGGACTAACCCTGAACTGAACCAAAGATAGTATTGCCAGCAGGGATTAGCCACGGAATCACAAGCTTAGAAAGATGCCACTTGATCCTCAGCAGATCGACTCCTGTCTATGTGGGGTCGCAGAATTCGAAACACTCGCACTTCCTCGCGAACCCCAACAAACCTAGGGTCGCCCTGTTGACCCTGTATATACCAAGGAAAGAGGGGGACCACGGTATCAGATTGCTAGCATTGCATCGTGGAACCCCAACAATGCCAGGGTCGCCCCACTGACCCTATGTATCGCTTGGTAGTATAATAGTGTGGAGTCAACAATCTATAGAATGCACACATATGAAAAGAGAAAAATACCAACAAAACAAGAAAATACACACATTTATTACAATGCGTTACGGTTTGATCACAACATTACAAAGGTGTGGAGGAGAAACAGAAACTCAATAAATTCGAAGATGTCAAAAAGACACATCCGTTTAGAATCACGCTAAGGAAAAGAATGAACATGGCGGCTATTCCACTATGCATCATGGGACTAGGGGGCACACTACGGTTGATCAGAAGTTTTAGCAAATTGAATCAGACACAAAGGAATTTGCATACTGAGTGACTGTTTGGGGTAGGCTGAAAGCAGAAGACCACACTTTTATTAATTTTGGTCAATGGTGATAGGGTGTTCTGTTAAAATTGGTTGCCAAGTGGCCAAGAGTGAACTGAGTTTCCAAGATTAGCTTGCAACTTTGTGATGAACAATCTTAATGATTTGCCATCAAATGTTCCCATTTCAAATCACAACTTTCTAAACGTTATGAAAGCAAGCACAGGATTTCCTTTCTCACTGATAAATCATTTCAAATGGTAACAGTGCTTGTGCTAAGAATTCAAACCTGAATGACCCAAAAACACTTTTTTTAAGAGAGGCCCTGAGGGACTTTGGTTGCCTGCACTAGGGTTGCAAACATGGTTGATTTTACATTGTTTTCAATGGGGCTTGAATTACTTCAGCGCACCCCAGAGGGTGTACTGCATCTAAACCTCAACTGCAAGTCCTGCATTCACATTTATGCAAAATCCTGAAAAAACTACCTGACAAAGCCATACCAAACAGAAAATCCATATAACCCAAACACATTTCTAACAAAACCTGGAAATCCGGAAAAATACAGACAAGTCTCACCCCGAGTTGACAAATTAACTCTTCACCCAGCTGTTAATTATGCAACGTTTTTGGATGTACATGTATGTTCAATTACATGTAAGGGCAGGGCGAGGAGGTAAGCACTAACAAAGCAGATATATTTACAAAACATCAACATCGGAAGGGGTTGATGCCCTAATGCCCATCTACCAAAAGAATTAACAAACACAATGTGTGTAACAAATTACATGTATATGTACCTGTCGAATCCTCTAGTTTGAGAGCAGCATAAGGTGGAGCTGGCTTGGCAATTAAGATCTGTTTGCTTCTTGGTTTATCTAGTTCTGCCTGGGGTTTCAGCTTCCGTACGGTGACTTTGTTGCTTATTATCTCTTTACAGCTAGCTGATGAAGGGGGCTTAGGAACGCGTACCTGTGCAATTGAATGAAATCACAACAGCAGGACTTTTTTATCAAGGCAAAATATTTCGCACAAGTCAAACAATGAATTAAAAAATAGGAACCTATGAAGGATCATCTCCGCAAAGCTACTCAACATCCAAAAACTAAAGTTAGGACACACAGCAAAATAATATATGACTTTACTGGCAATTTCACTGCAAGCTCTTAAGCTTGCTGCAAGAGCTTGCCTGGCTGAAAGCGAGCTTGCAGCCATTTCTGTAAGGGTTGCTTCAAAACGTTTAGTAGCCGGTCCCCCGCAAATCACTCTCTGCATGGATGACTTTCTTTAATCGCGCCATAAGTTGATTCTTTTGCTTTGATAAGCTGGAGGGTGAACAGAAGGCCATGCGCAATTTGCCACGTATTTACATGTACCTCAGTGCAGGTTGGATGACGTCTACATTGTATTGTGACTAAGGTCCAGGGTATAAAAGTCCTCCTACTGTGCGAAAATGTTTTCAACCTTTTTTGTCTCACATTTTTAACAGACGAAGACAGTTCAAATGTCGTTCACAAGTGCCTTATATCCCAATTTCCATAAATGCTGTGATGAATTTACTAAATATGCCAGCGGACAACATATTTTGCAGAAAATTTTGCAAAACTCCACGCTTTCCCAAGCAAGCCTGATTGCTATTGCAGCCTAAATACAGTCTGTACGTTTGCAGTCCAATTGTTGACTCTTTCTGGTGGCCATGTGACCGCAATGAAGGAAGCTTTGTGCATGCCGTGGCTAAGGCCTGGCTGCTGCCTGCCCAATTTCAGCACTCCTGTGCTACTAACATGCAGACTGTCCAATCACAGCCCATGTTGTGTAAAAAGGAAAGGCAAGGGAACAAAAAGACAAATAAAGCCACACAAATTTTTTGTAATGATTTATTTCTGTGCTTAAACATTTTGAAATGCAAAATAGTACACCCTCAAGCGATTAAAAAGGAGTGATCATGTGGCCAAACAGGAAAATCCCTTGGCTGGCTGGCCCCGGTCAAGAGTGAGAGCAAGGAGCTGTGTGCGTTGCTTATGCGGTGTACGCCGAAAGAAACAAACGACATTACAGAATTGTCACAAACAAGAACAGTTTTGGTGATACACAGACTTGGTTACCATACTGGATTTTTTCCTTTAGAGTGATTTAGAGCGCTGCTGCTTCACAGCGCTGAGGGATCTTTGGTACAAGCTGCAGGGACATTTCTTCAGTGTGAGAATCAACGTATAAGCCACAACTTATTTTGTAAAAATTATTACAGTGCCATGGTCAGCTTTCCCATAGTTGCAAGACATGTTTATACACCATACGAATGCAAAGTAGTTTGATGTCATGAAGCCTTTGCTCTGGAATTCGCAAGAGTTGAATTGTATTCAACACAAAAAGTTGCCCTACCATCACAAATTTTTATGTACAAAGATACCGGTACCTCTGTAACTCGAACAATGCCCATACCATGATATCCACTTATTTTGAAGTTTCTGAAGAAAAAACACAAACAAAATGCTTCGAACAGAATTGAAAGTATCGTAAGTCTAAGGTTAAGAGTCATTACTGCCGAGCACATTTCTTTTCTCACTGGGACCACTTGTAGCCACACTGCATAAACCAACATTATCTGAAACTGCAACAATTCCTGGCTTTCAAGCTACTGAAGCTAGCCTGATTGTAGACCAGTAAACAGGGCATTTGTCAGCCACAATCATTATAAAAAGTTGCTTTTCTAATGAAGAATATCTTAATTTAGAGAAATTTAGTTCAAAATAAGAATTCAAGTTAATTAAAAAGTAGAACTTGCATAAATTTGACTCGACTTTTTCAGCTGTACAGCGAGCTATCAGTGGCAATTACACGTACCCTTGAGTATGGCACACCGATGCCCTGTCAATCCCATTGACCATGATGCTTCCATACACATTTCTTCCAATGTCCCTGATCACACAAGTACTACTTACAAAAACAGAACGGGAGTGTTGCAGAGTTCACATCACCCTGTTTTGGCTCCGACAGTCGTGGTTCTGCAGGTAAGATGAACACTGTAGACACCCCTCCCCTCCCATAGACATGTTGGGAGTGTCTACTAGAGAATACTTACCTGAGAGCAACCCTTCCTCCCTCCCACATGGACATTCGATGCAGAACTCCTGCCACACACATAGAGCTCATAAGATGGCGGGCATGCTATAGGGCATGGTGGGTAGTCTATTGTGTGAAATTTTAGCTGAAGTACTGTGCCAACTAGGGAAATATGCATCAATAGAGGAACTTCACCGACGTCATTAACACGTGATTTGTCGCCATATTGGCCGTCAAGTGGAGGCACTGCAGTGTGTTTACGTTATGCAGGCTTGGCGCAAAATATTAAAAACAACTGAGATCGTATAGCACTGAAGGGCGAAACTGAGCTGAGACATGGCGAGTTCAAGTGAGCCGAACGTCTTATCAGACATTGCTGATAAACTTGAGGACGTGCAAAGGACGTTCAGTTGTCCACTTAAATGACTTAAAGCAGTACCATACTGACCACCTTGGATATTTTGATTGTGATTATAGTTTAAAAGCAAAGGCAGGTAGAGAATTGAAATAATTGCAAATAAGCCTGTACTTAGGGGAACTAATTCAGGAGTGCATGCTGAAATTTTTCAGGGGGAAGCCGGGCCTAGATCAGATTTTATTTAAATGTCACAAGGGACACAGATAATGCACACTGCGATTGGAAATGATAACTCATGTAGTTTGCACTTTCATACAGTGTAGGCCTAGGCCCCCTTACTGTTTTTTTTTTTCAATTATTATTTTTAAAATTTTTTTTAATGGTGTTGGGGAGTGGAGTTCCCCCAGGGGAAATATGGCCTATTTCGTTTCTAGAACCCATCACTATCAAATTTGAAAATGAAAAATAATAATTTCATCTCTAAACCAACCCTACATGTAAATCCTGCCCATGTCTTTCAATTGTTAATTTCATGTCCTCTCTTTGTACATGTATATCTTTGTATCTCAGGAGTGAGAAACACTTTTCTCAGTTTTCTCTCAGGTATTGCATTCCAAAAGGCTGAACGAAACACCCTGTCTGCATGGATAGCCATACATGTAAAAGCAGAGGATAAGGTCATATGTGCACATTGCTAATGTTTGGCTGGTCTTGGAGAATCCTGCTCGCACATCTCAGCAGCACTTTCCGCCATTGAAACTGGTGTGAGGATTCGCACTGGAATCACATGTACATCTATAGCATGCAGCTGGCTTTCTCTATCATCAAGCAAAAACACCGAGTATGCTGAAACACATAACATTGATTTTAGAAGTCCAAGTACAAAAATGAAGAAAGCATCAAGTGCCAAACCAAAATCTAATAACTGTGTCACAGGAGTAAAGAGCATAGATGTATCACAGACCTACGACTCTTTCTATGAGAGACTTCATCAAGCAGGAAGCCGCTCGGTAGTCTTATTGCTTTAACCAGCCTATGCAAAAAACTACACTCCAGAGTCAAAGATTCTACCGGGCCCTTCAACAGAACTACATCATGGCACAAATCAAGACATGGGGTTGTTATTTATTGAGGGCAACTGTCAGCTTTAGCTTTATCTCTTTTTGGAAGTTGTGGTGGCTCTAAAAAAGAGCCGTTTGTTTTAAGACGCTGATGACAATTACTTCTTGAAAAAGTCAGTGATCTTTCCCTGGATGGTCCCCCCATGCTGCTCCTTGGATAAGTAGTTCATGATGTTAGCTGCACTGTTGTAGATTCCATCCGTCATGTTGGCCCGAGTGCAAAGGAAGTGTTGCACTTGGGTCATCATGTTGATGCACTGCCGGACAGTCAGTTGCTGTGTCTGGGCCCTGGCTGCTTCCATTGCCTCGGTCTCCTCGTCGCCATTTCCATTGTCACCGGCTCTCTCTGATGTTATCTCGGCAAAAATCTCCTTCTCACTTGGCTCGTCTGACACCTGAAGATCCATGTAAGCTGATGCATAATCTTGAAATGTGACTGGCAGGTTGATGTGTTGGGCAAGACGTTCCCAGATATTATCAGGGCGGCCATCTTCGTCTTGATCTTGGTCTTGCGCTTGGTCTTGATCTTGGTGTGGTGCTCGTTCAATTAAGCCTGCTTTCTGGAAGCAGTTTGCAATGCTGTCTTGCTTGACGGCTCCCCACGCTGTGTGTACCATGTTAATGGTCTCCAATACGTTGACAGGCTGAGGTGTTTCCCCGGCATCGTAGGCAGACAGAAGAGTCTGTAGCAGCTTGCAACGGTAATGAACCTTCATGTTCATTATTATACCTTGGTCCATAGGTTGGAGTTGTGATGTTGTGTTTGGTGGCCGGAAATGAAGAGTGATAGAGTTCAGGTGGGACACTTTCGGATGTGCAGCGTAGTTGTCAACGAAGAGAAAAACTTTCTGTTTCTGCCTGGTGAACTTCTTGTCAAGACGGCGAACCCACTGAGTGAAAAGATCGGATACCATCCACGACTTTCGGTTGGCCCGGTAGCTGACCGGTAGATAAGCTACATTCTTGAAGCACCGAGGTTTATTGAACTTGCCGATAACGAGTGGTTTCATTTTCTCTGAGCCATCCATGTTGGCCCCACATGTCCGCATTCGTGGGCCTATTCACATTGCAGTGTATTACCATCTACATATTCAATTGGTTAAAGATCGGCGAGATGAAAAAGGGTTACGTTCTGTGCGCCCCTATTGTCCGTTTGTAGGAATAAAAAAGAAACCTGGCCCGTGAGTGCCGCACTTTTGAGTCATTTCACGGTGCACAATTGGGTAATCGCAGGAGTGGATTAGCGACAATTAACAATGCACTGTATCACCATCCATTCAATTGATTAAAGATCGGCGAGATGAAACAACATTACGTTGAAGTTCTTACAAAGGTGCATTGATAAGGTGTTGACAGACTGGGAAAACGTATGATGCCCGAATCGGGACAAAAGGTTTGTCGTTGACAGCTGCAGATAATACGGTTTGGAAAAAAGTTGCTGTAAATGAGTTGGGAACAATACTTTTGCTCGAATGGGGTCGGCACAAATCGTCGTTGTAGGCGGAGTCTCGCAATATCCGTGCACGTAATGACCAAATATTTCTCCATAGCAATGAATACAAATTGTTCAGGACTGGGAGAATATGCTTGTTGCATCCAGGTTATCGTTATGACCGAGCTCGTTATAATGAAAGCTGACTGTAATTACAAATATTTCACAGGATCATAAATTTTAAAATGTAATTTTCTCAGCAATTTTGACGATAGCATTATTTATGCCTTGTCGGAAAGTTGAAGCACTGTTGAAAACAAAGATGAAAAGCCAACAAAATAATGTCAAATTGTTATCTCATACTTTTACGCTAAGTGTTCCAAATACATACCATTGGAAAGCTCTCTTTTGCTGAAATCAAGTACACCAATCTCAATTTTTGAAAAATCCGACTTTCAGCTCATTTTGTGGTAACAGGTCACAATTAGTTTTGAGCTTTGAGGGCATGTGGTGATTGTTAAGCACTAGTGTATCACATCAGGAATGTGTGCATGTTCAGTAGCCTGTTAAAGTGATGGAAATTTTCTGCAGTGGTGTGAGCTTAAGCTAAAAATTGCCAGAAATGGAAATTTCTGGAGTACGTGACACAGCCATATAAGGTCATATCATGTGATGCAAAGTAGATGCAAAGGCATTGCAGAATTTTGTCCAATCACAGGAGAGTTCAAGAGTCAACCAATGAAAGAGACTTTACTGTAACCAGCGATCATGTGCAGGGAATGGAATTGTCAAATAACCTCACTTTGTCACATCCTACTGATAAAGCAATTAACATACTAGTGTTCTGCTCTAAAGATTTTCCCGCCACCACCCCAGAACTCCACCATCAGAGGAGTTTCAGCATATTATGTTTGACGGGATACACATAGCCAATGCTCTGTTTTCAATAACCAAACAATGTGAAATTGTGGTTTTCACAAAGTTAGTTCAATTTATGTTTTTCGAATTCTTACTGAATATATTATGACTTGCACCAGTTGTAACAAGCAGTTAAATTAGCATCTTGAGGTTTCCCAAGGGCTATTCAAGTTCTGACTTTATGTTCCAACTATCAGAATGATCGACTTGCAAACATTTCGTAGGTACATGTATGTAATGTACATAATCTATTTAATGTATATGTAGAATTGAAATACTGGTGAGATTTACATCCCGTAACCCTTTGGCTTTGGAGGGGTAATAGCCTGATTCAAGAACAAGAAAAGCAGTGATCAGGTGCATCCTGCACATTAATTAAAAAAAGTAGTTTGGATCAGGTACATGTACATCCCTTATGTTATTTGAATGATTGCTGGGATCAGGTGTTTCCCACTTCTGATTCAAAATAGTTGGGATCAGGAGTATTGATTGAGCCAGTCAGGATCAAGTTTATCCTTCATGTTAGGGGCCATCCAAAGTTTTCAACATTTTCACGGTCGCACAAAGCATACAGAGAGAGGGGGTCATACGCCACATACGACTTTTCAGGTCCTGTAAAATGTAGATTTTTTTACTAGTATGCTCATTTATATGTAAAACATGAAAAATCAAGAAAAAGCTCTCTACTATAACGCGTGGTAACATGCATTCCACAGTAAATTAGCGGCTTGAAATAAGGTTAGTAAATTTTCACTTTCTCCGATAGATGGCTTCATGACAACTAGTGCAGGGCATTTTTACATACTCTATGTGCATCGTTTCATACGAGATTTCAAACAAGTTTTGGATATAAACTGAGCAACACAAGTGTATCAAATGTCCAAAGAAGCTATGACTTGGATTCAAACTGTGACAAGATCAATCCTCAAAATACAAATCTGCGAAAATGGAAATGAATGGAATCACTGAGCCTTTTTCTAAGATCAGATGATGGCATACACCATAGACCGACTGCAGACTCAAATCCATGCCTAGAAAATCCAAAAGCCTGGACATGCGACATGCATTCTTTGTAACAAGAATTCGAATTTTGAAAACACGGTTGAATCAGCTGGGAAAAAGCCAAACTCACTCCACAAACCTCGATAATGGATTTCTGGCATGATTATTTTTATGCATGAAGAAGAGCTGATTCAAGCCAGAGTTGGTCAAACCATTCAGGTAGGTAAAGACACGGAGGAATATGCTTTTTTTTTTTTAAATATGATTTTTAATGAAAAATACAGGTACAACTCTCAGTATGCAGTTTTGTGATTTAAGCAGTTACGTGTACATGTACGTGTACGTGAAGCCCACCCTATGAGTGTGAGCACACTGCTCACACAAAGTGATATCCTCACAGTCCGAGGTCATGCACATATGTACATGTAGTAGCCAATCACAGAGCAAAGCCATCAGCCCTTCCCAGTGCTATGTTCAGGTGCTGGGCAACGTGCAAAGCAGTACAGTACTTGATAACCTTTGACATCATGGTACATCGTTTATTGACGTTTAAAAACGCGGTATCCATTTTTACCCGCATAATTTTGTCCTGGTATGATTGATGAGAAAAATGTTTCTTTATCAATAATGTGTCTAAACAACGTTCTTTTATATTAAACCTTTTTAATTAAAAACATGAACGTTTTAAAAAATGCATACTAGTACATGTACATATACTGTATCTGTATAATGGGCACTTTCCAACGGTGTACCGCTATACAGGAGTTTGTCAATATTTCATCAGGATACTGACAGAAAAATGTTGATAAGTACTAATTTGGGGTGGGAGGGCACCCTGAAAATACTAGTAGTACTCTGTGTACTTCTGTGAAAATATTGAAACATTTGGATGACCCCTTAATTGAAGAATAGTTGGACTGGGCGTATCCCTTATGTTGGAAAAGAATTGGGATCAGGTGTATCCCTTATGTTGATTGGAAAGAATGGGATCAGGTGTATCCTTTATGTTAATTGAAAGAGTTGGGATCAGGTGTATCCCTTTGAGTCAGTGACCAGTTTTCCCATACACTGGTATTCCGACACAATGGAAAATAAAACAAAGTTCTAGGCTGTGGCCTTCAATCAAATAATGTGTTCCTGTTTCATAGCTGTCCGAGGTAGTCTCAGTGTAATTGTGAGATAAATACTTCTATGATTTGATGCACTTTAGATCTTAAAGAGACATCAAAAAACATGAAATTGTTTCTTTAGAACCACCTAGAAATATGTAAATCTCCAATAGGACTTAAGTACAAACATTGTATTCAACAATTTACCCTGAAAATTTTGGAGGTAACAGGCCTTGAACACACTCTGTATTTCTGAACATCTCAAACTTTTGTGTAGGCTCATTTTATCTGACCCTTCCCTTTGCAACAAGAGGCAACATCTAATGAATTCCAGAATGAGGATGCCATTGATCATTGACTATATAATTGTTTCATACTTTTATGAAATGTGTAGAAGATAATCATGTGACTAGAAATAAACCTATAGATAGAACTTAATGTTCAAGTGGGTGCCCACAGTTCCTTTTTGGACTAACTACACTTTAGCCTTCAGTCAAGGTGTACATGGTAGAACTTAAGCAGCATGCATAAAAGAATGGTCTTCTTGACATCATGGCTGCCCCCCCTAGAACTTGGCGGTGCTATTCTCAAATGTTCTTTTTTTAACTTGGCATGTACATGTATGTAAAGACACTCCTTATCGATCTAATGTGAAATCTGAACTCAATCCGACATAGGGTTTTGTATGGTCATTTGCACGCCAGCCCATGTGCATTGTGCACCGCAATGGCAATAGCATACATTTTTGATTGACCCGTCTCAGAAAAATGTACGCTGTGCAAGAGTGGTATGTTCAATTTTCATAACACTGGTGTCAAAATGACTATAAATGGTTACTCTGAAAACTCCTAAAGGCTCAGCTCCTGAAAAAAAATTGGAAAAATCTTTAGGAAGGCAAATTCTGACCACCCCCAGCTCTTTCAGGGTTAGGTTAAGGCAGCTTTCGTGTTCATCTTTGGGGGCAAGTGCAACAAAGTGAATGACAACTATAATTCCATGCTCGAATGAAAAGCAGTGTCAGTGTCTCCACTATGAAAATGGCAAATATTCGCCCAAATAGGGGCATACAGGATATTACATTACAAATACTACCATTGCTGAAAATCAGGTTGAGGAATGTAATTAACATATCGTGAGCAGTTCTTTTATGAGTACTGAAATTAATTTAATACTTGCCCATTTCCAATCGATACAGCTCTGCAATGGCAATAAGGTACAGAGTACTTCAGCAGCATGCACAAAAGAAAGGTCTGCTTGACGTTATATTTACTCCATAAATGAGAGAAAAATGCATATTACACCTGTTACACTTACTTTAGCTAACTCCAGATGATCAATAGCCAAAGCTCTGATATCTTCACCATCTAGAACTTGCTTCCTGACAGGAACAATGTCTTCTTCTGTCTGTGACTGATTGGGACTCACTGGTTTCTCAGGGGTGCCATCACGTTTTCTGCCAGCTTTCAGCTTGTCTAATGAAAAATCAATTAAATGAAACAGTCACATAAATTTCACCTTTCTACTATAGTTTTGCTTGTATTTGAACTATAAGCTGGCCCAAAGAAAAATTTGTTATTGTCTATGACATGCTTGTAGTCATACAGGTATCTAGTACATTTCACACATGGATAAATTTCAAATTCAGTAATCCTCATTCGTCATTTGAAAAGAGCCATGTTGGTGGGAATGTTCATTTTATTGTTAGCAAAGCGACATTAATGCATGCATTTCATAGCCATTTGTGAACCAGCAAAGTGCAGTTCCTGTCGAAGGAGCCTAAACTGCTATGAAAATATTGCCTTCCCTTGATCCTGCTGGGGGTATAGAGGGCTTCCTCAAAATTTTAATACAATTTCAATGGCTAATTTTATTCCTTTGAGGCTCAGGCAGCCTCCAACAATTTATTGCCTACAAGACAATTTCAGGTATTGGGGCCCCAAAGAAAATGTATTTCGTACGGTTGAACGGGGCAGTGAATTAGTATGAAAATTAGTTTTTAAGAACACCACTTCGCTGCATGGAGATTATGGTCGTGAGAGGTCCATGACATGGGAGTGAAGTGCCATCTGCTTACTGACAGACGACAACAATCGCTTTTTTTGTCAGCCAGTCAATTCACTGAACCATGGAATCCAATACAGACAATGCAGAACAACTCCTCATGGCATTCCAAAGCACAACAAATGAACTACAAAACACTATAAAGAAGTCATGTGCTGTACTACGTGCAAAAATACAACAAAGCCAGCAAGACTACTATAAAGCTATCAACAAAAAGATCAAAATGGCAACAATCACAAAACGGAAGAGAGAAGGCAACCATAAGCAATTCCACTTCAACAAGGAGCTTCTTCAACAAGGAGCTTCTGGAAATCCTCGTTAAATCACAGGAAGCAATCAAAGCAGGAGACATTAGCTTGGTCTCCAGCCTCATAAACTCGGCCACCAGGAAACTTGCAAATAGGCAGAAACTGATCAGGCTTGCAGGTACAAGCGAAGGTGGTTGGGAGACCATTAAGCAATACAAAATTAACAATCTCGCCTTGGACTCGGAGGACGAAAAAAGGATTAACCGTGCTGCGTAAAGAGCTCTAAAGAAGATAAAAGCGAAGTCCCAGAGAGGAAGGAATCGTTTTCGTCCCTACAGTGCCAGTGCATCTCGTCCTGTTCCTTCCAACTTCGTGTACATCCAACCCAGGCGTCTTCTACAGACACACCGCTACCGTTCCAGCATACAAGCAAGGACAGGAGCATGCTTCACATGTGAATCAGCGGGACATAGGAGAATAGAGTGCCCCCTCTCACAGCCAGGCAAGAGTAATGCGCCCCACACTTGTGGGACGCTGGAACCTTCTTGAACAGGGCAAGATTTCAAAGTGCAAACGTCCAGCAAAGACGAGATAATAGAAGATAAGTATTCAGACTTTGTCTTCATAAAGCATGAAGAGTTTGAATTTGAGCAAGGTGATGTTGGAAAAAATTTACTATGTATGCAGGAATATTGCATTTTGGCAAAATAACTGTGATAACACATTTATATTAGATGTTATAAATACAGGATACAAAATTCCATTTAAAACTCTACCAGTTCCATCTGTCAAGGCAAACAACCGCTCTGCTACGACGTATTCCCAATTCGTATCAGAATTGATTTTACAGCTTTTGAATGAAGGTAGAATCGCCCAATGCAATGATGAATCAAAAGTTATCAGTCCACTGTCAGTCTCAGTTCAAGGCAACAGTAAAAAGAGGCTCATTTTAGATCTGAGACTAGTTAACTTATCAGTGCATGTTTGGAAACAATCTGTCAAATATGAAGATCTCAAAACGGCCAAAACATATTTAAGCAAGGCAAGTACCTTTACTTATTTGATCTCAAATGCGGTTATCACCATGTTGATATCTACATTGTATAATGAACACACGGAATACTTGGGCTTTTCTTGGAATGGTCAGTACTTTAAGTTCACCGTATTGCCTTTCGGCCTCACATCTGCGCCTAAATACATGTATTTTCAAAAGTCATGCGCTGTCTTGTGAAAAAATGGAAGAGTGAAGGTAAAACAATTGTCGTGTATCTACATGGTGGTTTGGGTATTGTTGACAATTTATAGGAAGCAAACTAAAATGCTAAGGAAATTCAGGATGATCTATACAAAGCTGGATTCATTGTGAACAAAGAAAAATCGCAATGGGAACCCAAGTTGTCTTGCCCGATGGTTAGGTTTCATATTAAACACTGAAAATGGTATAATCCTCCCACTCCCAAGAAAAATTCAACGAATCCTATATACAACCAATGAGTTGGAGAATTCCAAAAAGGCATATGTCAAGCTAATTGCGAGCCTCGTAGGGCAAATTACCGGTATAGCATTGACACCTGCATTAGGAAATGTTACAAGATTCATGACCAGGTCTACTGTATGTTGCAGTATATTCAGTTAGCCTCCTCTTGGCACAGTTAAGTTTCTTTGTCATTTGATAGCGTGAATGAATGGTCATTCTGGAAAAATATAAACTGTGGAAGACCAGTCACAATAACACTTGATACTCTGTACGATGAAGTTGTCTTTTCGAATGCAAGTGACATACAAGTAGCAGGAGCAATTTATATAGTAGGTGCAGGAGATATGGTAGCAAGAGGAGCTTGGAACTGCACATAAAAACAGAAAAGTAGAACTTAAAGCAGTGGAAATAGTGCTTAAAAGCTTCACAAGTGCCCTTGAAACAAAAAGATAATATGGTTTACAGAAAGCCAGAATGTTGTCAAAATTTAAAAATTGTGGAAGTACATGTAGGAAGTGGGAAACCAGAATTACACAATATATACATGTACATGTAGCCAAAGCAATTTATTCTACTTGTACAGAAAATAATATCTCTGTGAGTATTGATTGGATCTCATGCTCAGAAAACAAAAAAGCAGATGCACTCAGTAGAGTAGTGGATTATGATGACTGATCATTTTCAATATACACTTCTCAAACTTTAAGAGACTATGGGACCCTCGTGCCATTGATAGATTTGCCAGTTTTCAAAATAATAAGCTGCCAAGATTCAATTCAAGGTTTTGGATACCAGGATCTGACAAAGTAGACGCTTTTACTTAATTGTGGATAGGTGAAAATAACTGGTGGTTAGTCCCAACGATATCCCTTATCTCTAACACTATACTGCACTTAAGCAAGGCAAAAGGAAATCTATTCCAGAATGGCCTTCAGCTCTATTTTGGCCTCTCTTGACAAACAACCACGGAAAATTTGTGCCGCATATAAAAGACTGTGTCAAATTCTCCACAGCATATGACTCATTCTTTTATAGGAAAAGTGGTTGTCCACTCTTCGCAGAGAGATACCCAAGTTTAACATGTTAGCTCTAAGGTTATCATTTATCTATGTTAGAGACTTGTCTATACAGTGTGTATAAAACTGGTTTTTAAAGTTGTATACATGTACAACCCCTTCCTCTAAAAAAAAGTAGTAACAATAAGAAATAATATGTATATACGTTCATGCGATTATATTGAAGTTGCGGACTTATAAAATAACTAAATATCTATTGGAGCAAAAAATGAAGATATTCAGATTTATGTACATGTAACATCTGGCTGTACCAACAGCTTTACAGTTTTATTAACATATGTATGCTGGATAACGTCAGATAGAGTCCGACAATAATATGTTAAAAGGGCTCCGGATCCTCCTAGTATAAAAAAAAAATTGAGGGCAGGCCTTAGACCATTGAAAATACTTGGATCTTAACCAGGCTATAGAGCCTTGATAATACTTGGTTGTTGACAGGCTGTAAAGCCTGGTTTGAAATATTTTTATGCAGGGGCCAAGGAGGAATGAAGGGAGCCAGATATCAGACCTACTGATGCAAGATCTGTTTGAAAAACTGCTGGGAGTGGTTCTGAAGATAGAGCTGATTCAACAACTACCAAATACGCACAAGGATTTCAGAGGTGGGCAAGCTGGGCCAAAACAGCCAGTACCAGTAATGCCAGCATCCCTACTACATGTCGCACTATACCGGTAACTACTGAGCCTGATAAAGTCTTCAGACACACCATCTCACATATACACAGCCATCTACAGCATAACTTGGGCACATCGAGTCTCTTCTCTGACATCACCAACAGATCATTCCCTCCCAAAGTCAGTGCTAAAAGGAGCGAAGAGAACATTGGTCAAACCCCATAAAGGCAAAGAACCACTCTCGCTAGAGACAATACAGAACTGTGCCAAAGGTCTCCGCTGGACTCTTCATCATTATTTGATATCAAAAACCTGACCATTATCGTGCTAGGGTTCGCAGGTTTTCTTAGGTTTAATGAGTTATCCAACCTGAGACGTTTGACTATCTTAACCACTTCCAGCCGGGGGCTTTGGTACCAGAGGCATAGGCCTTATATTCATGGCCGGGGTCTCCGAAATCGGAACTTTACTAAAAAAAAAAGTTGCTGGGTGTTTCTTAAAAAGTTTGGTGCTGTCAGTTAAAAGTTTAGGCCATCATTGGAGGTAAATAAATTGGTCTGAGGCAATAATGGGTTGCTGGGGCCGGAGAATTGGGACTTTATTTTATAGCCGGCGTGACCGAACTTATAAAAGCCTGTAATAAAATTACGAGCTGCTGAGAGCTGCCGGGCACTGCCAATCAATCCCCGTATTCTTTCAGTGCAGAGTGCTGACATCAGCAGAGGTAATCCGTGTATTGTTTGTGCAGAAAGCTATTGTTCGCGCTGCCGGGCGCTCGGAGCGGATTATCGCTGCACTGCACTGAAGACAAAGCCCGGGCTGTGCGGGCTCATTATGCACCTGTGCCCCATGAATGACCCGGCCTGGGCGCTACTGGCCCTTGCCACGTTGACTGACAGGGCACGGCCCTCGCTGCTTGAGAATAAAATCGCTGTGCAGTGGCTACATGTGTTCATATTGGGTATCGTGTTATCAGAGCACAGACAATAT